TTTAAATTCAAATAGTCTAAATGATGTTTGATTTTTCATTGCCCTATCCAAACAATGTGGAAACTCGGTTCAATTTCCAAACTATCTGCAATTTGTCTTGAGTCAACCAACCTTTAACAGACTGCATTTCCTCTGAATAGACTTTCTCAGTCATTTGACTTGCTATTGAAATGTTTGTCTTTTCTTTCAGAAGTTGCTGGCTGAGAAGTTTTATCCTGAAGAGTATTTTGCAAACAAATTCGAAGTCTTTTTATCTTTACCAGCCATTCAATCAAATTCAAATTGTGTCTCTGTCAAGGCTTCCCTTGTAGAACACTTAACAAGAATCAATCGTGAACAAATATCTTTAATGTCGAGTTTTTTTCTTGATGGTACCGTCTCACTATAGACATACGTACGGCGTGGTTGACATTAAGTCAAGGAATCTTGAGCCAACTTAAAATGGTTCAAGTTAAACAGAGCAAGTGCTTCTTCCATGTGCCAGTCAGTTTTCTCAATCTTGGCAGACTTCCAATTTCCAATTAGGAAAAAGAGAAATTCAGTTTAGAAATCCAGAAAATGTTTTGACATAGGATAATTCAATATGTTTTTAGTGATAAAAGAACACTCATTAATACATACTGACTTGAAAATGATCCTATATTGCACTTCAATTTTAATTTCCATCTAGTGACTCCTTATCAACCCTTGGATTCTGCTTCATCAGTGTCGAAATCAACATAATCCAGATTACCAGGATCCTTAAATTCAATTTTTCCTAATTTGGTATCTCGTCATTTCTGTTTTTTATTTTCTTCAGGATGCCAAATTCTATACCCTTTTGACCCTGTAGAGAAATCCTTTAAAAATACCCCCGTTTGCTCGAGTTTCAAATTTTCTTTTTCCAGGTAGGTACTCTGTTCAAAATTATACATGACATCAAAAGACTCTGTCTAAAATCTGATACTTTTTCAGTTTTCCAGTCCACATTTCATAGGGACTTTTCCCAGTTAAACTTCTTGTAGGATATCTACTAGGATAGTTTTCGGTATTTAAACTTCTTGCATAGTATCATGCAAAGTAGGGTTCGATTTTGACATTACATTTTTTTCAGGATCCTATGATACAGTCAATCTTCTAGTAATACTATGTTCTCTTAAGTGTTTAATAATTTTTGTAGTGAAACTTCTTAGGTAGCGGTCTGATATTTGGACGAGAATGGAGAGTGATTTGAAGGTCTGTTTAGCATGTTATTTCTCGCTTTGACGTAGGCTATTTAAGCAACTGGAGACTTAGTTATGACGTTGGAAATAGTGACACACCAATATGGCGGTGATTACCAAAAACGAGGCCGAAAAGCAATCCTGTAGGTGTGTATTCATCCTTGGAGAAAGACAGCCAAAGGTAATGACAGTCGACGTACGATTGACACAAACCAAAGAGGATTGCCTTATTATTGTCAAGCGCCGATACCCTTGTGACGTCACTACAGATGCGCGTCTCTCTTTTGCGCAATCCTTCGTCTTTACCCTACCTCGTACGCACTAGAAGTTGTATGACGGGAAGATAGTTTTTGATGTGAAACTTCTTAGGCGGTGGTCTGATATTTGCACGAGAATCGAGAGATATGAAAGTCACGTCACGTTAAGACTTATTTCGTTACACGAGAGAGAAAAAATATAATGTAGAGAAAAGGAGGAGAGATAGAGAGAGAAAGATATATATCTAAAATACACACCTTGGTTGCAAGACAAAGCAGAGAGGAGGAAAAAGACAGCTATAGTTTGTATATATCTAATACAGAGTTTTGGCTATTCTCGATTATCAGCTAACCTCTACTCAAGGAGCTGAAGTTCCATACAGGCTCCACATTTCGAGAGAGTAAACGAACGCACTATCTGATGCTACGGGAGTGGAATAAGAGAGAGCGACGTATACACGTATCCACCACCTGTACCTGCACATGATTTTTTTTTTCTTTTTTTTTTTTTGATTTATTAGATCTGACTCTGACACACCATTTTGACCTGATTCATTCAATTACGATTTTTTCTCATTAGTTCAAAAACTACACGTTTCAGGTGAGTGTCTTATTTGAACAGTTTAACAGTATATTAATGAGTTGATGGCTGCGGAACTCGCTGCTCTCGTCCCGCAGAGGTTCACCCATAAGTTCCGCAATAATCCACTTATTTGTACAGAATGTTTTTTGATATATACACAGATACTAGATAAACCTAGGGTTGAAATTAATCAAATCCAAATTAAAACTTTTTAACTGAATTTTTGACCTGTCTGGATTTCTATTAAAAAAGTACACCCTTTCAAGTCAAACAGAAAATGGCTGTTCAGGCCTCTGCCTGGATTCAATAAAGAATTAATGGGGATGCACTCACAAATTTGGTTCTTACCGACTCCATTTAGAGCAAATGGTCCAATATTCCCACACTAAAAATTGATTCTGAAAACCAGGGCAGCAGTACCTATCTAAAATCCAAAAATCTGTCTTGACTTACCTCGTGGCACTAATCAATAAAAAATTCACACAAAATGGAAGCCAACAATTAGATAAAAAAAATTTGAAATATAATATTTATATTTCAAAAACAGATAAGATTAGATTTATCAGGTAAAAACTTGATAAAGATACGATAATTTGAATATTGAAAAATCTATAGGGGAGGATCCAGAAATTCAAAACACAAAATTAAATAAAAATAAAGAGGACTTGCCTGGCCAGAGTGTTTTTCAAGAAGAGATCGTTTTAGAAACCACAGCCAGCAGGAAAACGATCCTGTGTTTTTTTATACTTACTGCATTCCAACCAGTTTCAACCTATCAGACGAGTACACCCAAAAAACCATATTCACTTCAAAATGAAAAGACAATGAAAGACCGCATGGAATAAAACAGAATGGATAAAAATCCACTAAAACTATTTTAATTGTTTACAAATTATGATAATTTAAATTAAGGTTATGTTAAAAATAAAAGACTGTTAATTAATTAGATCATTAAGCCAAAAAATGATTATTTAAAAATCAGAAGTTAGAAAAGGACAGAAATATATCCATTCGCTAAAAATGAGATAAATATAATTTCTTTCAATGAAAATATAAATAACTGTCAAATGCGAATTTTAAAAATCATACTTTGAAATATAGATCATCGGGCACAAGATGGCAGTACTAAAAAATAAATTCTCGATACTTGCATTTTACGCAAATGTGGATAGATGGCAGCACTTGTATTATTTGAATTTGAATTTGAATTTTGTGGATATTTTTAGAATATTAGAAATTATTTTGAATTCTGAAATGCAAAAAATACAACTTTATAATGAAAATAAGAAGAGATGGAACATGTTACGTAAATGATAAATTTATCCTAACACGGTTCTGCTTTCAAACACGTTTCTCCGTGTGCAAGGTGGCTACCACAGCGTGGACTGTTTTGTGCTTAATCACCTAACCAAAGCGCATGCGCCTATGGGTTTATAAGTAAAAAAACGTTTATTTTGGCGAGATCTATAATCACTTAATTTTTGGCACAATAGTTTCGGAACACCCTGTATATATATTTTTGATAAAATAAATGTCTTTAACTATCCTTGCTGGTAAAGTATCATTTAATCTACTCTTGCGGTTAAAGTACCTACTACTTTATTCACTATTTTTAGTAGATTAAAAACTATTTTACCAGTAGCTATGGAAAAAAAATAATTAATTGAGTATACCCCTTTAACAAGACAACTTATCTGTCTACTGATATTTAAGACTGGTAATCTACTGACAAATTAAAATATGACCTGGCAACACTGTTTCCAGATACTCAAAGTTTCCAGATGTTGTGTGTTCTTTCTCTAATTAAAAAAAAAAAAAACGAACAAAACAACAATAAACAACAACTGTCTCCATAGAATTCTCACAACGCCCCAAAGCCACTTCATACGTCAAAAACACTCGCCACCGGCATACGATGGCGCACCATGTATTGTGGGTTGCCAGCTTCCAGGCCACACCGCGCCATCTATGTTGACACCTTTAAAGTTTCCGCAACGATACAATAATCAATCAAAATTGAATCCAACTCTAAAAAACAAAGCTTGATATTTTTTTTCTTCTTAGAAAACTCTTTACCTAAATCAATCAGTAATTTTTACTTATTCACTCGCCAACATCACCTACTAGGGTTTTTATTTGACTTTAAGCCCTGTTCAGTCTTGAAGTGATTAATAAACTTCACTCTCACCCTTAAAGCCACAAAAACGAAGCCAACATAATTTGTGACAAGAGACCATAAAACAAATTAACACGGACCTCCGCCTAGAAAATAGCGGATTTTATCGAATTAACTCGCGGTTATCTGGCTGCCATAACGTTTAGTTTAAGAGCGAAATAAACAACTTGATGCCAGACTATTTCTGTTTGGAGTTGGAAAAATTAGTTTCCAGACTAGGAATTTAATAAAAACTCATATTTTTGCGAAGTTTAATATGCTCCAGTGCATACAAACAAAGCTACTTTTATTGTTATTTCTTATGCATATTACAAATTGATAAAAGCTTTATTTTGCATTAAAAAAAAATTGATTATCTTTTACTAAAAATCGACAATTTTTTTGTAGTGTTAGAGTTCAAAAATCTAATTACCGTTTCGCTTTGATGTGCTTTGTAAAAACCGTGCAGATTTTAATATAGAAAGCTTTTGCAGCTTTTTCGGTAAAATACATTTTTGCGTTCACACTCATGTCGACACAAAAGCATTGGTTAGCTAGATAATAATTTTATTGTATAGTATTGAACAATGCACTATTGTGCCTCAGAAATGTTGCATATTTTCCAGTAGCCTGCCAACAATTCGAGGGTCGAATTTTCGATTATACGCTCCTGTACTTACCGATTGGTCCAATATCGTCATCAGTACAACATATTTACATGACAATATCAACCATTGATAAGAGGGAAATTGGATTTAGTTGGTTAGTTGAATTTTAATAAAACATACAAATGATTTACTTACTTTTTGAAGTTTTGTTGTGGGAGAGTCTATAGCAGGCTCATCATCGTTTAGGTTGAGTAAAACATCAGAAACGGCCTTGAAAAAAAAAAAAATGTTAATTGAGTAGTTGATTGTTGGTACAGTTTAAAGAGGACGCTACTAAATTGTTTCATGATGTTAGAGGATAATCTAGATACAGTAAGTATTAGAATGATGAAATTTCAATTTTTTTTATGTTGAGATTTTGCGTTTATATGATCAGTTGGGACCCCCTTAATTCCATACTATGAAAAAAGGCACTCAGAAAATTGAAAAACTGATTTTATATCAAGTTACTTAACGCGATTTTATTTCTGGAACTGTCCAAATAAGCTAAAATTTCAAGAAATTGTAGTCCTCCACTGGGATAACAATTGCTGAAACTTTCAGCTTTCTATATTTAGACTTGTAATAGTATATTACATGCGGAGGTGGAAAGTGTTTCATTATTGTCGAGAGATACTATGGTTGACCGAGGTGCGAAGCCCCGAGGTCAACCAATTCTCGAGACAATATATGTGAAAACTTTTCACCGAAATATGTATACTATTTTATTTTGAATCATTAATTATAAAAAAATAGGGTAAAAGTATGACAAAAATGGAATTTCGACTGACAATCTGACACCGACATTGACATCTTATGGAATTTCAACAATAAAAACACATGTGACATCTACTTCTTGGTACAAACCATAGAGAAATATAATAAACCAAGGTATTTAAGAGTTACCGATTCATATGCGCGAAGTGGCAACGTATTTCTAGTTGTTTCTTGTAGCACATGGTGTCGCTAGCATAGCTTGGAACTATCTGACATCACCTTCCATTCTCATATCTATCTCTTTTTAACAGATGGGATGATAAAGGAAAAGAGGACATTGTAATTTAATTATTGTACAATGACATGTTCAAAACTGACAAAAAAATTTTGGACACAAATTAGTCAACCTAAATCTCAATTTATTAGTTGATTTAAAAATGCATGATTCTGGTAAGATTTACGAGATATACAATGTGAAAATGGCTCAGTTTATACATAAGTAATGATAATTATTAAATAGTAACCTATTATTATTAGAAAGTGAGACGTTTTGGCTGTTTTTGCTTTTTTTTTGTTGTTATCTTGCGGTATAAGTATAATTTAATTTTTATTATTTCTTTATTTACGTTGTTTATGTAAATTTATTTTATTTGTATACGTATGTTCTGTGTGATATTAGAATAAGTGTTGTCTTGTAGACATATATTATTATGTATTTTTTATTAAAATGTTATTCGTCAGCCTTGTCAAGTACACATAAGCTAATAGCCTTCGCCTTGTGTCGGCATGACAATGTTGAATAATAATGTCATTGTTTGGCAGTTCTTGAATAGATTTATACTGCATCAGTTCTAGAGTCTCATTTCTTTCATTCCAACTTATACATGGTGTCAGGTTAAAAGCGGGTTGAAGAAGTATCCTCCTCTGGTTAAACGGAAAAATTCCGTAAGTAATTGCTAGAACTTGAAAGCTTGAATTTTCCGAAATGGAAGGCTTGTTTAAACCGCCCGAACCACTTATGTTAGATGGCAATATTGCTGAAAATTGGAGAAGATTTCACCAGAAGTTTACTGTTTTCCTGGAAGCAACAGATTTGGAGTCGAAAGATAATGAGAAAAAGGTTGCAGTATTTTTAAACTTGATTGGTGATGATGGATTAGAACTATTTAATAGTTTCAATTGGTTAAATGGTGATGAAAAGAAGATACAGAAGGTAATACAACAGTTTGAAGATTACTGTTCGCCTAAAACCAATGTCACTTTTGAAAGATATAAGTTTAACAGCGTTTGTCAAAAAGAAGGGCAATCGTTCGACAATTTTCTGACCGAATTGCGAAAGGCGATAAAAACCACTCAGTATAAAGATCAAGATGAGGTGATACGTGACCGAATAGTCATGGGAGTTCTGGATAAAATGACGCAAGAACGGTTGTTGAGAGAACATAAGTTAACTCTGGATAAAGCTGTCGAGTTTTGCAGGTCCACAGAAGTTAGTAAATCCCAGTCAAAAGTTCTACAAAATGATACTCAGGTTCACGCTTTAAGGAATTTTCAAGAAGCTAGTGGAACAACTTGCAAGTATTGTGGTTATAAACATAAAAGTTTTGGCAAATGTCCTGCTTTTGGCAAGACATGTGCCAGATGTCAGGGCAAAAATCATTTTGCAGGAGTTTGCAGAAAGGAAGAAGAAAAGAAATTAGATTCATTTCATGACAAGAAGAGTGGGTATAAAAAGTACAAAGGCAAAAAAGTTCATGAAGTGGAAGCAGGACAAATGTTAGAAGACAGTAATTCGAGTGACACAAGTGACGAGTTCTATGTCAATGAAATAAAAAAAATTGGATCTATCAGCTCTCACAATAGTGCAATGTGGACCCAAAAAGTGTTGATTGGTGAGGTGAGGTGAGTGTTTTGCCTGTGCAAATGTTGAAAGGTCGTGATCTTGAAAACAAAATGAATGCAACTAGAGTTAACACTGGTAGCATATGGTAGCTCGAACTATAAAATTAAGCCAGTTGGTGAAATTTCCCTGTCTTGTAAGGCTGGTGACCGAGTTGCATTAATTTCGTTTATTGTTGTTGACTTGAAAGATCAATTTCCTTTGCTAGGCCTACAGGCATATATCGATTTGAATTTAGTGAAAAAACTTGCTAATGTTAATGTCAAATTTAATTCAGTAGAGGATCTAGTAAAGTTGTACCCAGATGTTTTTGATGGACTAGGTGAGTTTCCGGGTGAACATCACATAACATTAAAAGAAAATGCAATACCATGTATCCAGCCCCTCAGAAGAGTTCCTCATGTCTTACGTGACAGATTAAAAATTAAGTTAGAACAATTAGAAAGTCAAGGAATAATTCGAAAAGTTGATAGACCTACTGAATGGCTGAATACACTAGTAATTGCTGAGAAAAAAAATAAAGACTTACGCCTCTGTTTGGACCCAAAGTATCTTAATCTAGTTGTAAAGCGAGAGCACTTCATAATACCAACAGCTGATGAAATTTCTGTACAGTTGTGTGATAAAGAATTTTTCACAGTACTAGATATGAAGGATGGGTATCTTCAAGTCAAAATTGATGAACAAAGTGCAGATTACTGTACATTTAGCACACCATTTGGCAGATTTCAATTTTGCAGATTACCTTTTGGTTTATGCTCAGCTCCAGAAGTATTTCATAAAAAAAATTACGAGATTTTTGGAGACATTAAAGGCATTAGCATATATTTTGATGTTATTATAATTACTGGTCATAATGAGGCTGCGCATGATCAAAACTTACGTTTGGTATTAGAACGGGCTCTAAAATATGGTATAAGGTTCAATACGAGTAAAATTCAATTTAAATCAAAACACGTGAAATTTATGGGTCAAATTTATTCAAAAAATGGCATTAAATTAAATGAAACCTATGTTAAAGCTATTATGGAAATGCCAACGCCAAATTATTTATTGAGGCTTCTGGGCATGGCCAAATTTTTAAGTAAATTTGTCCCAAACATGGCTAAAATTACTGCCCCTTCAAGAAAATTGACTAGACAAGACGTTATTTGGGAGTGGACTAGCTTACATGAAGACTCAATAAGACGCTTGAAGCACTTGCTGACTTCAGCCCCGATTTTGACATTTTTTAACCCGAATAAATCAATTGAAATAGAAACAGATGCCTCAAAAGATGGCTTGGGAGCATGCTTACACCAAGATGGTCATCCTGTGGCATTTGCTTTTAGAAGTTTGAGTGTGACAGAACAAAAGTATGCACAGATAGAGAAGGAAATGCTGGCTATTGTTTTTAGTAGCCAGAAATTTCATTTCTTCATCTACGTCCTTGATGTCAAAGTAAATACTGATCATAAGCCTCTTGAGGCTATTTTCCGTAAAGATCTATTATCAATAACTCCGAGGTTGCAAAGGATGCGGTTACGTTTGCTTAATTATAATTTAACTGTGTCTTATAAGCCTGGAAAATATTTATACATTGCTGACACATTGTCCCGTGACTTTTTATGTGAAACAGGCCTTAAATCAGATGGAGAATTTGAATATGTGGTACACTCTTTGAATATAAAACTACTTGAAACTACAGGAAGGAGCGTTGTCTATCTGTCACTGCAAACAAAAAAGCGACGGAAGCCGCCATTTTGAGCCTCCAAGTTTGGACTCATCATTTGTTTTGGTGGTTCCCTGTGTCCTCATTTAAGTGGATGTTTAATGGATTTTAGCGGTTTTAAGTGATGATAAGTACTGGAATTAGTGAGAAAAGAGTGAGTCATAATATTGACAATCATATTTAAATAAATATACGCTACTGCCAAACCGGAAATACTAGTCGGCCATATGCAACCTCCACATATTTTGGTCGCGCAGATTCGAAGTTATGCTCCTTCCTGTAGTTTTATATTCAAAGGGTACACTTATTAACTAAATATCTTTCAATATCAGACCAACGGAAATCACAATAGACCTATCTCCTATTACCTGGACTGCGCGCGTCGCTTGTAGGCTGCAGGTGAGCGTCCAATGAGAAGCAAGTTTGTGACAGGCTTGCATCATATTCTTATTCAGGGGCCAGTTTAGAATGAATTGTTCCTTCTTTCTTTGTAACGTGTAATTTGACAAAGAGCAAAATAATTCTTTACATATTACTTGAACTCACCGCAGTTTCGTTTAAGGTTATGTTAGATTATACTTGACATATTCCTTTGCAATTTCATTGAGCGATGTTGCCGGAGGAAACATTTATCAAAATAAAAGTACAAACGATGTTCATCCACTTTAAAACTCTTCTTTTATCTGATATAAGGCATGGTAAAACACTTGACACTATATCACTTCTTTAATATTATAATATTCGATTTGTATATTGTCTACATTTATTCTGTAACCATACAATCTGGCTACACTGCAGCCTACGAGATGCGCGCGCATGTCATCTTTTATTGCATTCTAACTTGTATTTATTACAATTAAGCTCTCTTTTTCTAATCATGCGAGATAGGTCTATTAAGGAATG